GATCTCTATAAATACCCACAAAAGGGTCACATCACCCTGGGCACAGAGAGGACTGCTCCTGCGTGTGCTCCTGCACTCTGAAGATGCGGTCACAGGTGCTGGCGAAACGTTAGGAAACACAACTTCCAGAACACGGCCACACAGCCCGGAAGACCCACACCAGCCATCAAGATATAAGGTGTGCTTGTGTAAGGTTTACCCATGGTTAACTTTGGTTGACTCAGTCCAGTTTCCTGGGTTTGCATGGCACAGTGGGCTGTGTGCTAATCATGGGGCCACATGGCTCTCTGTATCTGCAGGATGCACCAAGCAACAGGCCATACAAACACATTTTAGCCTAGTGTGCTAATCATGGGTTCACACAACAACTAGGCTAAAATGTGTTTGTATGGTCTGTGGATTGCTGCATCCTGCAAATACAGAGAACCATGCAGGTCTTCCAGCTATTATATGTATCTTCATCATCCTTGAGGAAAACAGCTTGCTGTATTAAATAATTTGCCATTTTTTAATCAAATTAGAAATGAAAAGGTAAGTAGTCTAAATATACCAATATAGCATTCTAGACAGAAAAAATTTGAGGGCTCTTGTAATAATGTCTTCTGAAACCCAATTCTGTTGTGTTTATGAAATATTTCAGAAAGTTCGTGTTTTTCATTCCAGAAGAGACCATGGCAGAACATGGGGCTCATCTCACTGCCACCTCCACATATGAGGACAGGCCTTCCATCTTTGAAGTTGTTGCCCAAGACAGTTTGATGTCTGCTGTGAGACCAGCATTTCAGCATCTCACCAAGGTAAGAAGAATGGTTGGTAAGTGAGTACCGGTGGAAGAATAACTATTGCTTCTCTGTGCTTATCTAAAGTTGAATAATGGCCAGAAAAATTAACGAAATGTGAAAGCTTGGAAGGAAAGGAAAACATTTCTATATGCAAGATGTGGCATCCATTTTTCTGTGGTAAGAAGGATTATTTCAGGTATCAGATACTGAAAGAAAATCCTGTCTGAGATCTTGGAAAGCTTCATAGTCAGACCAGGATAGTTGGATCAGTGACTTTTCACTAAGCCTAAAATGGAAATTCAGATAATGTAGTCTGTAAACTATAATTTATGGCTTAGGATTTTATTTGTTTTTCTACTGAAAGTAATTAACAAAGCAAATTCAGTTTAATAAAAACATCCATGCAGATTCCAAATTATGGTGTGGCCCTTGAAACCTTCCAAAAATTGTGAAATTTTGAATTTGAAAGAAGAGGAAATTATGAAATATTGGAATTAATTGTATTAACTGCATTTATTACTTTAATTTTAGATTAAACTTACAATAAATTAATTTATTTTTTGTCCTAACTATATCCTGTTTTTTGGTCCTGGCCCTGATCCAGTATTCAAACACAACTTCCAGCATGTTATTCAAAGGCCACATAGCCCGCATTTTGAAAAAGGGTGTGTTCTCTTGCAAAAGATTCAAAGCAAAACCCCCACAAAGTAACCAAAACAAAATGTTTGAAACATCTACAAAAAATGTCTTGGCACATCCAGGTTTACTATTCTTACCCTTGATTGTCTTCTGTCCTAGGTATTGGCTGAATCCAACCCTTCACATTATGGCTTCCTGTGGCGCTGGTTTGACGAAATCTATACCCTCCTAGATTTGCTGCTCCAGCAATACTACCTCAACCGGTGCAGTGCTTCTTTCTCTGAAAACTTCTACAGCTTGAAAAGAGTTGTACTGAAAAGCAAAAGGAAGCAGTATAGATGTTTGGCCGCTGCTGGACTTCCCCAAAAGCATCATTGGAAATCTCTCTGTTTGTTGGTCCTTGTTCCATATCTGAGAACCAAACTGGAGAAGTTGATCTCCCGTCTCCAGGAAGAGGATGATTATTCCATCTACCCTCCATCGTCCTGCTGGAAACGGTTTTACAAGGCCTTCCTGGCTGCCTACCCCTTTGTGAACCTGGCTTGGGAGGGCTGGTTTCTGGCCCAGCAACTATGTTACATCCTGGGGAAAGCTCAGCACCACTCCCCCCTGTTGAAACTGGCTGGTGTGCATTTGGTTAGGTTGACAGCAGAAGACCTGCAGGCTTTCGAAGATGCACGTGTAGCTGCTGGTGACGTCCTGCAGTCGTCAAACAGGTGAATTGAAATGAAAACCCTAGAAACAGCTAACCCTTGCTTCCTCCAGTATATTTATGTATTCACAGTGTTTGTATATCTAAAAACTAACTCTCTCCAGACAGTTAATCATAAAAATTGTAGACCGTAAAGATGAAAATGTGAGAAAAAGATCTTATGATTACTACACCTGGGAAAATTAAGAAACAAGAAAAGCATTTTCAGCAGGCACCAGAAAAATTGCAAATAGAGTCATGGCTAAGATTTTTCCTATTTTGAGGATCACAATCTCACTAAACGTAATCAGTTGGGAGCCATCTGTTCTTGGGTGGGAACACCAGTTTTTTCTTTACAACTTTTTATACTCTCTCTCCTGTTTTTTCCCCTCAAATTAAGCTTACAAAAAATTAGGCAGAGGGTCACATGGGATCATAGACAGCATGGAGGTGAGCAAGCACATTTGAATCTTCTGGCTTTCCAGGGGCATCACAGTGTCATCAGAGTGGAAGAGCTACATCTTTATCTTTTTTGTGCAGGAATGCCAGATTGAGTATAATGGTATTTTACATTTTTGCAAGATCTGAAGCACTCTTCTGTCCCTAGCCCTCTAAAAATGCAAAAAAAGGTGCTCATCCCTGGTCTAAATTATTTTAGTTGCAAAATAGTAACAGAAGTTCTCCAGAGGCCAAGTGATCGTAATTTAACCTGGGAATGAACAACGCACACTCTATGCATCTCTACAAGCTGCTGGTGCAGTTCTCTATGCCTTCTTCATCCCAGGTGATGAAATGTCTAGCAGACCCTGGAATCTTGAGGACAGAGTGAGACCATTAAAGGAGGAAGCAGGGTGGTTACTAAAAAAAATCCTGAGTCCAGGGAGGAGGAAAATATGAGACACTTGGAATTACTCCACCTTAATTACCCTAGGCATAAGTTGATCTGGAGAATTGCTTTGACAGGCTTTCAACATTGATGTCATGGCAGGCAAACTCAAGAAACAAACCTCATGGATTTCTGGAAAGATTTGATTGCTAGTAGGGTATTGTAGAGCCAGTTAGTTGTAGTGGTTAAGGCATCAGGCTAGAAATTGGGAGACTGTGAGTTCTAGTCCTACCATAGGCACAAAGTCAGCTGGGTGACCTTGGGCCAGTCACTCTCTCTCAGCCCTAGGAAAGAGGCAATGGCAAACCACTTCCAAAAATGTTGCTGAGAAAACTGCAGGGCCTAGCCCAGGCAATTGCCAGGAATCAACACTGACTTGAAGCGCCCTCTCCCCCCCCCCCCCCAAAGAAAAGGTAGACACATGGGATAAGCAACTGAAGCATTAATGGAGACTATTTTGTCATTTTGATATAACATTTCTATAGATTTAAGATCAATTTAATTGAACCAAAATTATTATTTCATGTCTCTTGGAAACCTGCTGGGTGGCTTTGGGCCAGTCACTCACTCTCAGCCCTAGGAAGAAGGCAGTGACAAACCACTTCCAAAAATCTTGCCAAGAAAACTGAAGGGACTAGTCCAGGCAGTTGCCAGAAGTAAAAAATTGACTTGAAGGCACACACAGAATATTGTACCAGAATCCTGAAAGCCTGCCAAAGTAATTCTCCAGCTCAACTTGAGTTACTATGAGTCTTCTTATATTTCCCCACTCTCTGCCCACCAGACTCAGTAATCTTTTCTGTAACGGTCCTGCTTCCTTCTGTAATGGTCAGTCTCTCTCTTCCATGTTCCCAATGTCTATCAGACATTCTGTCACATCCCTGTTTGTTCCAGGTAGCTCATCACTGATTGACAAGCCGTAGGAGACTGCCATTCACTCAGAGGGAAGGCATGTGGTATTTCTCTGACTGAAAGGGTCAAAAATTGTGTTTCTGCTGCCAAGACAGTTAACTGGAGTAATTTGTAATTTTTGCTGGGAAAAAGATTACTGCCCATATTTGTTTGTGATGCATGGAAGGAGGGTATGTATGTATCTCTGCATGTGCCAGCAGATACAGCCCCCAAAGATTTGACCAGGCACCCAAGGGGCTGAAGATTTCCCAACTCAGTATAGGAACATGAAAAGAACACCCCTTGAGTGACCCTCAAGGTACCTTTGAGAAAGCATGTATAATTGCTAGAAGATTCTCATATATTAACTCTTGAGACCACCCAATGAAGATGTTCACTGATAGACCAGAAACAAACAAGGAAGTGTTTCTTAACATGTAAAAACCTTACAAAAGATTTTTAAAAGAGGTCTGAAAAAATCAAATCAGTTTATCCAGTGGTGTGGTATAGAGTCTCTGTATTTTGGGTATTATACCTTGGATTTTAAATGCTGGAAACCAGGTAGTTGGATGAATAGCTAATCATAATCATATTCCAGAGATTTATAGCTTTTCTCTCTTAGAGGATGATTCAGGAGATTGTATTTTTTACTGTAACCCTGGATTTGCATCTTAGTGCTTTCCTTATTTCTTAATAACAGTGTTTATTTTTTATGTCTTGCCCCTTCCTACAGCATGAAAGAGCAAATGCAGTCAGCTGGGAAAAATTTTTTAGGGGCACTGGCTTTCTCCCTCTCCACTGGTCTCTCTGTGGGCATCTTCTTCCTCCAGTTCTTGGAGTGGTGGTATTCAGCTGAGAATCAGGAGACTGTCAAATCACTGACTGCTATGCCAATCCCACCATCACCTGTGCACCTGGACTATGAGACGGATTCACCTCTTTTGCCAAAGCTCAAGACAATGTGTCCTTTGTGTCGTAAAATCCGTGCCAACGACACAGCCCTCTCCACTTCTGGCTTTGTATTCTGCTATCGCTGTGCCTACAATTATGTGAAGCGTCACCAGCGGTGTCCCATCACTGGCTATGCCACTGAACTTCAGCACCTTGTCAAATTATACACACCTGAAAACTGACAGAACAGATCAGTCCTTCAATCTTTATATAAAAACTGGAGTGCTAAATTGCAGCATTGGGTATTTTTTCTGATTATACTAAGCAGGGGTATTCCATGATTTTTACTGGCAGAGGAGGTGGCTTTTAAGAGTACGGGTACTTGCTGTTTGGAAAATCACTAGAAGTGAAGTGTTGACTTTGAGCTGTCTCTCTCAACTGATTTTCCCCTAAAAACTGTTAAGTAACAACAGATTAGTTGAGTGAGATCATTAGATGGAAAAAAGGCCCTACCTGCTTCTTATCAGTTCGACTTAAAGATATGCTTCTGGGGTGAGCACCTTTTCCTAGAAACATCTGGCCATTGACTGGCCAGCTGAGGGTTGCAGACCAAGTTGCAAGCAGGGTTTAGAAAAAAACTAGTTTTAATTTTCTTTACATGTAAATAACTTTTTAAAGTCATGTATTTAATAATCCCCTTTTATTACATTATAAATTATAAGTTGATAACTTTTAGTTGCACACTGCTGACTTAAATCAAAGGTGGCCTTTTTTTTTTTTTTTGTGATAAGGAGTGGCTCATACTTACTTTTTCAGTCTCCGAGGCTTGTAGAGAATATGATAGACACTTTGGTGGGCTAGTCTGTGATTCGGTATATATATCAGCCAAGCCAGTTGAGTTAATTATTTGAACCAGGATCAAGTTAAAGTATTGCAGAAACACAGTAATGTAGTAATGTCACCAGAGAAAGTAGAGTTGGAATATTAAGCAGCTTTGGGGAATGATTTCAGTAAAAATAGGTACATTAAGTCAACCAGCACCTTAACTTACTGTACTTATTTGTTGCAACCCCCCCCCCCCCCCCCCCTTCTTTTTTTAGCAGCATGATCTTGGAACAGTCTGGAAAAGGCATGGCCTACAGGCTGACTACACTCAGCTTAGAATATGTTAGAAATTCTGAAGGTTCCTCCAGACTGTTGGTATCTTGGAATTATACCGTAAAGGAAGTGTGTGCAATAAGACTTTCTTAATAATGAACTTGTTCCGCTTAGTTTTTCCATGCTCCTTAGCTGCTAGGTTAGTGAAAAGTAATAGAATCGGAGCTGTTCTGTTGTTCATGCTGAGCATGATCTCTCACTAGATTCTAAAACTGTTCACTCAATTTCCTGGTTTGCTTAACTGTGGTTTATTGAACAAGCCATGATTTGTTAGATTCATAAAGCACATCACACATTAAACCAGGAAGATTAAATACCTGTTAACCCTGCTTAGAAGTTATTCTGTAAGGCGGAGTATTTGTACCAAAAAGAAGTGGAAGAGGGTTATACTCCATGGTAGCTATTTTGTGACAGGACATGGAACAGCTGTTTAATGGGAATGCTGACATGCTCTCAACATTCCAAATGTGTCCACCCCGTATGTCCAAAAAGTCTTGCCTTTGCACTAAACCATGGTTTGCTTAATTATAATTTACTGAATAATCCATAAATAGCTAGGTTCACTTAACAGAATAAGCAACAAAAAAGCAAGCCATATTGGTTCAGATGTCATCTGAAGCCATTCTGCAAACAGCATCACTTTCATGGCCCTTCCTCCTGGGCAAAGAGGCTTTGCCAGTGAGCAACAGGCTACTGTACCCAACGTAACCTTCCTTACTAGCTGTGTGGTTTGCTGGATAAATCATAACTTATGATTTCACACAACACACTCATGCAAGTGTGCTCTGGCTCAGCATATTTACAGCTCACAATACATAAGCCAGGCCACTGACTGATTATGCTGAAGAATTTCAGTGCCAGTGTCAGGTAATGGCCATACTGCATTTACATTCTGTCTTTTAATCCCTATATCTCTAACTGCACTCCTTGAATCACCAGCCTTTGTTACAACACAGAAAGAATCTGGCTAGATAGAGTATTAATACCCAGCCAATGGTTAGCATTCCTCTGGAGGATCGACCCTTCAGCCTATTTGCAAGGTCCATCCTTTGTCTTGTATTAAAAGTCATGGATTCAAATTTAATCAAATTGCTAGAATAGTGCTGGAAACTAGGTTTATTTTGAATCTTTCCATTGTTGTCTGGGTTCATACAATGTTTCATTCTGCATGTATGCTTATAAGACATTGGTGGGGGAAAATCCCATTTCAGTTTTTTTTCCACGTTATGGATGCAGATTTCCTAGTTTGATATGATACTATGACAACTGGGGACTGCAAGTGAGCCTAAAAAGATAGAAAAGTTGCTTTTTCCCCCCAAATAATTTTACTAAGAATTATAAATGAAAAGAACAAAAGCCAATACAAAATACAAAAAATACAAAAGAAAAAAGGGGGGGGAGAAAGAAAAAAAGTGACTCCCCCCTTCATTCCAGCAACTAAAGGCAATTTTAATAGCTTATCGCCATCTCTAAATACAACATAATCTCTCTTCTCCCCATAGCTCATCTCTTAAGTAAAAAAACAAAATCCAAATGCTTTGTCAATTGTTCTTTGTCAGCAAAAGTCCAGTAAGGGCAGCCAGATGTAACTATTTTCCTCTTTTAGCCCTGATCGAACAAGCTGACCTTGTATTTCTTCCCTGACTTTTAAAAATTTGTAGTTTTTTATAATTGTTTAAATGGTTTCAATTATTGAAATTGTTTGCCGCCCAGAGTCACTTGGATTGAGATGGGCAGCTATAGAAATTGCACAAATTAAATAAATTTCTTTAACCCCTTCAGAGAGTCCCAGAGGTACTTGTCACTTGTAATAAAGTCCTTCAAAACCTTAACAGAGCTCTTTTGTATATCCAGTAAGAAAAAATTATCCAAATTAATTTCCTGGTTTAATATCTATACATCTCCTTTGGGGAATAAATCATCCCTTAAATCTGTATGTGTTACATTTAAGCTCTCCTTCCAAGTAATTTCATAGACATCCATTGCAACTTGTTCTTCTTCTATAACTTCATTACAACCCGCTCTGTTGATCTTGTCAAGCAATTGATCCATTCTATTAAGAAGCTTGATATTCAAAAATTTGGAGTATAGATTTCAGCTCCATATTCTTTATCCTCTAGCTCCCTCTAATGTCAAGGTCTCCTTATCATAAAGAAGCCAAAACAATCACCATTTTCTCATGAGAAAATATCTTCTAATTAATTCAAAGCTATAATTCCAAATCCTTCTAGCCCCTTAATCTGGTTAACTTTCCAAAATCCATATACTAAGCACCTTTTTGCTGCATAGTCAAAAAAAAAATCATAGATTTTTCAAAGCCTTTAAAATCAAATTAACACCATTGTCCTCTAAGGAGGAGGAAACTTACCTGATGAATACAGTAAAACCTCGCTGGTCTGAAGAGTCTTAATCTCTCCAGTAAACGAGAAAAAAAACCCCAAAAAAATTAATAATCCAAAAAAGTGATTAAGAAATGAGGCTCGGTTGAGCTTAATATCCATAAACGCGTTTTGCGAGTGTGAGCTTGATGAAATCCTGACTCCTAGCCATTCCATTCATAAGCTGACCGCAAAATGGCAGTTTCTGTGGTCTACTCACAAGTAGCTGTCTGGAATCATGTGGATAATCTCAACAATTTCTCCTTCTTCTGGAGAAATTTCGCCGGTCCAGATCCAGCATCCAGCTGCTATTCTCCTCGCAAATGCTGTCCTGCTACCAGCAGGACATCAGCTTACCATGGCACTCACAGGAAGTCTGAGAAGATAGAAAGTTGCTGATAGGAACTCCAACTCTTTTTTGGCAGCAGCAAGGTGCTGGTTATCACTTATAAAACATTCACAGCATGGGGCTGGGTTATTTGTGAGACCATGTCTCCCTGGTTATTTTTATCCAACCTACCAGGTCCAACTGGAGGGGCTTGCTCAGGGTCCCCTCAGTTAAAGAATGACATCCACTTGGACCTAGGAAGTGGGCCTTTTCTGTTATAGTACCTGCCTTCTGGAACACCATATCCCCCAAGATTATATTGGCCCTGATGCAAAGCACTGAAAACTTGGAAGTGCTCCAGGACATGGGGGCTGGGAGGATAGATAGCCCATGAAATGTGATGAGAGATGAGATGAGATGAGATGGTATTGTTCAGTTTATTTGGTTTGTTTTCAGCATCCACTGTAGGTTCTTTGTTTTCTTGATACTGTTTTCTGCATTGTTTTTAATGTGATGTTAGCCACCCAGAGTTACATCTGCAAGATGGGCAGCCATATAAATAAAATAATACATTCCTCAAAATAGGCACCTAAGAAACTGCTTTATAGAGTTTATTTGGACATTATGATAAACACTGACATTTTATTACAAATGTTTTTACGTTGCTTTGATCAGTTTTTACTCCAAGAGGCTGTATGGGAGGAACAAGTCTAGATGGCCATTGGGCTTCGGTACTTCATTCCCCTCTTCTGGAATGAGCACAAGATGATAAACTTCTCTTTGATAAACTGAAAGCTGATTTTGGTAAACAAGACCACAAATACACATCCAACATACCATTTTTGGGGCTTAAAATGTTTGAACTGTTAAACCCTTGGCTCATTTGGCCCTTTATCTAACAAGGAGTAGTAGGGGATAGAAAACTGATGTCTGCTCTCCCATGCTACTTGAGCCTTCTAAATAAAATGCAGGGGCTTTATTCTGGATTGTTGTTGTTGTTCTTTCTTATTAATTCACTCAAATGATTGTGTACACACAATAGGCTACACCATGAATCTGCTAGAGATGGTTGACAACCCCCAACATGGTAATGCATAAAACAAACTATAATAGATTGCTCAGCATGTTGTGTGAATCCAGTCCATCTGTCCTCCATCAACCCAAATGGTTTCCTTGCTGGCTGTTGAGGAAGGAACAACTATTTTTCCATAAGCAGCACTGAAATACAGCATGCTAACAGGTTATAGATTACTTCCATCCCTCCTCTATGCTTGATTTAGTAGTAAGCCCATCAGATAACTTATTCACAAAAGCTCTGTGTGTGTGCTTACAAGATCTCTGGATTTCAGCAAGATCCCTCAGCCCAAACTCCTTTTTCCCCCTGTCTTTGTCACATTTTTTCATTAAAAAAAAATCTACTCCTTATCTTGTCAATCCCACTGTTAACACCACTTTGTTTTAAATTCTCAGGATTGATCAGATAAAATACAGGATGCAAGATTCTTCTTGTGAGCCATTCCAATTTTTTAAATGTATTCTTACCATAACAAGGACAGAAAGACATATTTTCCTCTTGACAGACTGATGTACATAAGCAAACAAAATTCAGCAAATGCATATAGACCTTCATTTTTCCCATCCCACCTGTGTCTGCATTCAAAACAGGTTGAACCATAGCAAATTACTTCATATCCTAACTGCTCTACAATTCAGATACTAACTATCTCCCTCTGCTGGCAAAAATAATGCTCCTGCTAAAATGACTATCCATAGCTTCTATAAGATTCCCCAAAGAGTTAACCAATGGGTCAAGATAAAACTTAAATGACCACCTCTCCTGGCGATCAAAACATGGATCTTCAGTTCTGTTTCTGGATATCTGCACAGGGTAGACAGATTCCATACTGTGTTGTCCTCTTTGCAAAGTGATCCCTAGGCTCTATGCTGATTCCTCTTCCATGGTCGTCAATTCCACTGGAACTGCATCTTTCCAGCAACCTAAAACTGCTTAATTCCAATGTTGCTTGCTAATCATGTTTATTCTTCCCCCCTCTCTTTTTCCAGTTCCAGCTCAGCTCCTCCCTGCCTGCCAAATTCTTAGCCTACTTCAACTTCCCCCTTCCCATGAGAGGGATTATATGTGAAAATCCCTGATCTGGTTCTTTTCCCAGCAATTTCCCAGATTCAGGTTATTACTGTGATGGAATGGAATTATGGAGGCCAAACTCAG